GTTGATATAACTATATATCAATACGGAAAAAATGTTTTATATTTGTTTTATAATATAGCAATGTCAAAAGCCCGAAGAATAAGAAAAATTTCCGTGTTAACAAGCGTTAAAAATTTCCCGTGTTGACATGGAGTTATATCAACACGTCTCTTAGCCAATCAGCGTTCAGAATTTACAAATGCTATATTATAAATAGTAATATCAATAAGTCTTAGAATAGTTCAGAAATGAAGCTAGTTTGTGCAGCAAAATTGAGTGATAATTTAGCCAATATATTTAAATATGTTCTTTTTTTGTTTGTTTGTTCAGAGAGGCAAGGGTGAGTCACAAATAGTCTCTGGCAATCCTTGTCCAATATGTCGACTGTACTTGGCTGGTGAATATAAACTTGACCACAAGGTTAATCAAAGATTTGTTTTTTAACCAAAAACTTACACACTAGCTGATTTTAAATTGCATCATCTTCCATTATATGTGATGTCTACTAAATTTTTGTTTGTTCACATAGGATGTTGATTTGTTGTCACAGTTTATATCTCCCCATACGGGTGAAGTGTTTGAGGCTTCCAAAACAGGTATATGTTCAAGGAATACTACACCTACTGTATACTTTACCCCACATTTGAGATACTTTTTTAAGTATGGTAGTTCAGATACAAACCATTGCAGTTTATTGTAGAATACTACCTAGTACCTACAATGGACCACCATGTTTCAGATATGTTTTTCTGGTAGTTCAGACACAAACCACGACAGCTTATTGTAGAATACTACACTGGACCTCCATATTTGTAACAATTATGTAACATTTGGGTTAATGTCATATCCAGGTGTTTGCAGATACCAACAAGAAAATCTTGTAACAGCAATTCAAACTGCCAAAGATTATGGTTAGTTCTTTTTAAAGTGAACACAATTGCATGCCTTTTTTTCTGTATACTATATCAAGACTAATGAATTATTAATCTGTTTCTGTATAGGTTTGCTACCATACAGTATTCCAGGGCCGAGAAGTATTGCAAAACCAGCTAAACGTGCAGAAATACCTGTCAACGTTAGACTGAAATGAAACTTCACATAAAGTTACCCTATGATAAAACCAAAGTATTTCCACCGTTGAAATCATTGCCTTGCAAAAACAACAGCACTCATAAGATATTATGGGCACCTACTGTACTGTATGCCCTAAATGTGCTGGCAATTTTATTGATGTTCATACCTATATAAAACTACACATTGTATTTGGCCTAGACTATATATCAGTCTACTACAATTATGCTATGTTACTTGTTTTACAGTGCAATCATACAAAACAATTAATGTCTAAATTTAAGTTGTCAAGGATATATCACAGAACTAGGGCACTGGGCAATTCAAATACAGCGCTAATTTACAGGATTGGGGCATCATACTCTTCAATATACAGGTGTACATACAATGCAATATTGATTTACATTTAAGGGCATTCAAACTATTCTAACTTTAGGTTATATTTATGAGGTAACTTAAGATTTTTACTAAAAGTTTAAAAAAAATGTATCCTGTGTATCGTTTCACTCTCTCTGAGGCTAGTGCGCTAAATTGGACTAATTATACGTACAGTACTTACAATGGTTACACAGTTTAAAATTTTTTTAAAAGAACTGCTTTAGAGTGTCTCTTTGACACCAGTCAGGCTGGTGTTCTCGTATAATTTTGTGCACAATCATGGGGAGTGTTGGAAACGCTTTCAAGAAATAACCGTGAGGTGTACCAAACTTCAGTTGAACAGCAGATGGTAGAACATTGTCATTCGAGTGTTGCTCAACGTTACGCATGAATCGCAACAGGTCTGCAGGGTTGCTTATATATGTACGAGAGCGGCTGAAGTAACTGTATACGTCTCCATCAATCTTTTCCCACCAGGCTGGCGTGGCAAGAGAGGTTTCTTGACTTAACATTTGAACGACAATGGAGTTGTTATCTTTCGTTTTGATCTCCACTTCATTACCAATAGCTGTGAGAAATTTGAAATTCTCTTCAGGCGACATTAAGTAAGGATGTTTTAGACATTCTTTGACCGTAGCTCTTTGCGTTATGTTATGCTGAAGCATCCATTGAATGAGATCTTTTGCGACTGGGTGCGTCAAATCTATCAGGTTAGACTCACCTTTACTGATGTTTCCAGGTCTATAGATCTCCTGTTTTCCAAAAGGATGCTTCCCTCTCGTTAGTACGAAGTAGAATATCATTCCCAAAACTTGAACATCAGATTTCTTCTTGTAACGAACTCTTATCTCGTCAGGTAATGCGCTGTCATCGTCGGAATTTGGGAGAGACTCCAAAGCCCTCCAGCTCTCTGTTCCTCTTACTGTACTCCAGTGAGTTGTCTGACCAGGTTGCAAGCGCCGACATATACCGAAATCAGCAAGAACCATTGTACCTTCAAAATTTACAAGGACGTTTTGTGGTTTCAAATCTCTATGTAGAATGTTTTCATCGTGAAGTGCATCAATACCCAACAGGATTTGCTTTAAAATAGTAGGACCTTTCTTTTGTAACTCGTCGAGACTACGTGCTGTCGAGCGTACGAATTGGTTCAAGCTTTCCTCTTCTAAATTGGTAATGAGATAAACATACTGCCTACCCTCTGTGTGAAAACGGTACGTCAAAACATTGGGATTGTCCTTCAACCTCTGCGAATTCATCATGTTTTTTTCGTTCTCGCCTAAATAACTGAAGTCCGATTTCAGGCGTTTTATTGCAACTTCAACACCGTCTGTACCAAGGCCAACAAAGACTTCTGTACCATTGCTTCCATATCCAATACGAAAATGGTCTTCAAAACAGACCTTGTACACTCCGATTGTCTTGACTGTATGTGGCTTGTATTTTAACTTTTTCACGAGATCTTCTAGAACTTTTTGGTGTACTTCAGACCTTTTTATCCATTTAATATCGTTTCCTACAGAAATATTTTATGATATTTTATGTTGAAATTTCATTATTCAACCTACATGTAAATTGTTTCCTGCTTATATGATTTCATAGAATAAAGTAAACAAAACTCTGAATAGCAATTTTGAAACCGAATATTTGAGACTAGACTACTGGACTGTTTGTGATATTTCGAATTTATTACAACTTCATCATCTTACTGGTGAAAACATAACTTTGGCCAGGACCTGTTTCATACGTCGCACCATCGTTTAAATTTAAATGCGACGTACGGTATAGTGCGTCGTACAGAAGGAATTCGTTCAACCGTTTTACCCGTCATAGTCAGACGAATAACAACGTTCATAGCGCGTCGTTTCGTTTCATATGACTTCATTGTATCGTGTCGAATTATTCCTGAATTAATTAACATTTGTTTCTGGCCTTGGTAATGGCCCTGGTTTCTATTTCTGTGTAATTCATGATTGCTAATCATGAAATGAATGAAATTAAATTCGACGTATGAAAGAAGCCTAGATACGAGGCGTTTATTAAAAAAGTGGCATTTATTATATTCAGTCTTCTTGTCAAAGTTTAATGTAACTACATAAAATTGACTTTATACTTGATAATTACTTGACTGTAGAGATTTTACATACACATAATGATATACTGTACCTTTGACTTTATTTCTGAAAACATTGAGGGCAAGTTGAAGATAATTGTCTTCGTCACATTCGATGTCATAATCTCTCGCACAGAAGGAATAAATGGAAAAAGCAAGGCATACGACAATGAAATTCAGCCCAATGAGAAGTTGGTATGCTAGAGGAGAGTCGTATGTACTTCGATATGTTGTAGGATTGCATGATTCTTCGCCTTGACTGGGGAAACCGACGCTCGCATCCGCACAACTGAATCTCCGCATCTCTTCCGCCTTCAACAGTGGGAAAATGAATTTGAGTAAAGCGACATGGGAAACCAAATAGCACAAGGTTAATATACCTAAGTTCGTAAGCAGCGACATTTCGCTTTTTTTGCGAAACAAGACCAGGGAAATGATAGCTGTTATACGATACTATGTCAATTCCCAATTGTAATGTATATTATGTTAATTAATATTCTTTTTTTCGTGAAAAGTCTGCAGGGGGGCACCATCACTGAGCAGGGATTGATACAAGCACTTTTCTGCTACCATCTACAGTTTTTGCCATGTACCGTGCAAAAACTCTAATTATATTTTTCAAACTCAGTCTGTCTCCGTAATTATGTTTTTCAGTTTTCACAATATGCTTTTAGAGAAATTGTGACAAATGTGATTAACTGACCTAACTGTCAAGGGATTGGGGAAAGCCCGCAGACTCGCTTATCAGGCCATAACAGACTGGAACAACTTGGACAGAAAGGTAAAACTCTATAGACGTCTTGTAGTATTTCTATACATTTAAGAGAAACTTTTTTAGCAATCTTTGACCTTTCCCTCGTATAATGTTTAAATATTTTTCATAGTTATATGCATGTCTTCCTTGTACACTTGTTTATTTAGTTCAGGACCTTTCTGAAAATCACTTTGTGAGAAAGCTTCCTGAAAATAAATATTAATTTTAAAAAACAAAAAAAAAGCGGAAGAGAGTACTTGATCGTTGTATACATTTTTTCATGGCAAAACATGTAATGCCATTAGGTCAGAAGTATCAGATGTCAGGTCACGCTGACATCGCGTAATACAATCGCGCAATGAAAACATGGCTTGTTTCCCTAAAATAGCTCATTTCTCAGTTTATATAAAACATTCTTAATTTGTACACTCGGCTTGGGACTCCTTGTGTTATAGCGCTATTTCTTGTCGTAAATCTTTCTTTTGGATGTTAAAAAAAGCCCTGTCACTTTTGCCTCAAAGTTGCGTAATATTTCATTGTTTAGTATAAAAATTACTGTGAATGCGCCTGCGACCCGCGTGTAAAGCGTCGTAACCCTTTCCGCCATGCGTAATGTTAAAATGTACACGCAGATTCAGAAAGCCTGGGCCCTTGCGGTCATTTTGGTGGACGAATGTTAAATTTTGACGCAATTTAGACCCCGTCACTTTGCGATTGAAAAGGTTAGACAATGATCTCGGCTTCAGCGTTTATCAGGTTTTGGCTGCCGGTTGATGCAGCGTACGAAGAAAAAATGAGAAGGAACAAGGATATGATTCACATGATACACGCGTAAAAATCATCATGTTGTTGCAAGTTGTCAACAAGTTGCTGCAACTTGGTTCTGAACAGGATGCTGCAATATTGTGCGGCCCACTTGCAGCAATGTTGTCAACAATATTGTTCACGCTTGTTCGAACAATGTTGTTGACGCCTGATGAACGAACAAGGCCTGAACAACGTTGTTGGAACAACTGAGATCAACCTGATATCAATGATGTTTTATATTGTCAACAACTGCGAACAGTCTTGTTTTATCAATACGCAAACAACCTGATATCAATCCCATCAAGGACTTAAAATAAATAATCAATTGATTAAAAAAGTTAAAAATACCAAAGCTCTTGGAGTTGAATTAGACGAAAACTTGAGTTGGGAAAAACACATTAACCATATTAGCAGTAAAATATCATCAGGTATTGGGGCTAGTAGAAAAATGAGGGAGTATGTCGAACAAGACATTTTGATAAAAGTTTATAATGCCTTAATCCAACCTTATTTTGATTATTGCTGTGAAGTATGGGATACACTTAATAAAGGCCTAAGTGAACGTCTACAGAAATTCCAAAACAGGGCGGCTAGGTTGATCATGAACTTAAAAAATGAACATGGTCAGTCTATTTTGGCACGAAAATCTCTAGGCTGGGTAACACTTGAAGAGCGTAGGGCACAAATGAAAGCCAGGCTCATGTACAAGACAGTTAATGGTTTAGCCCCCAAACGACTATGTGAAGCTTTCCAAAATCTGAATACCATTCATGACCATAATCTGAGAGGTTCTTCAACAAGGTTTTATATTCAAGACCAAAAACGGAATCCTTAAAAAAAAGCTTCCAATATAGTGGGGCTAAACTATGGAATCAGATACCTGAAGAGATACGCAATTCGGTATCGTATAATTCGTTCTGTAAAAAGCTATCTTCCTCGACCTTAATCTCGACTTAAAGTAGGCTAGTAGTTAATTTTTTTGTCTAAATAGGTATATAATTGTATTTGTTATGTATGTAATATTAGAGCTAGTATATAAATAATAATTTGTAAGTACACATCCCTTTTGGAAATCAGCTTTTGCTGAAAAGGCCAATGTGTTTAAATAAAGTTGATCTATCTATATCCCATATCACTTACTATGGGAAATACTTGGGTTCCTTATACCATTTCATAACAACTTTGCTATGGGAATGATAGGATTCTAGGCTATATGGGAATGATCTGGGAACATGATATGGAATTCATATGGTTCTAGTAACCAAATTATATGGGACATATATGGACCAACTATGGGATTGATATGGTTCAACCTATGGGCCATATATGGAAGTTATATGG